GTGTAGACTCTGGGCTCACCATGACCTGGGGACAGAGAACAAGGCCAGCCCTGTTATGGGGTGGACTGTCCTGCCCTCCACTCCATTTTGCAAATAGCCATTGGTCATTCCAATCCAACACTGGCTATCATTATGGACAATGGAGATTGACGAGGAAACCATGGCCATGCAACACACACCCGTGAGACAGAAGCAATCTCACTCCCAGATCCACAGACTCTTTGTCCATCAGTGACAAAGGACAGAGAGGTTGAGATCCTTAGATCAGGGTGCTTGCTGCCTGGGACTCACGAATGATACTGGATAATGATGGAGATTCTGCCTGAAGCCCTGTTCTAGAACATCCAGAAATCCACCTTCACCAGCACATTTTATAATTTCCAGATATAATTGAAACCTTTGTACAAGTTGGAAGCGACTGACTTACCCCAAAATAACCCAGACCGAGTAGCACTGGTGAGAGATAGACACACATCAATAGAACAGGATATTGTGACCTTGGATAAGCCTCTAATCAGATGTGACCCAGAAAGCACAGGTTGAAAAAAATCAATGCATATATGTCCATCCAAATTTTTAATTATTCTAAGATTTGAAATATTCATTTAGGAAAATTCACTTAAACTGAGAAAATATATGAATATAATTAAGCCTTATATATCTTACAAACTTTTTGAAATAGAGGATATATCAAGCATTTACTACACAATAATAATAAGACAATTCACTATTATAAAGCTTTCAACATCAACACTCAGGCATCTCTGAGCCTCCCTTTACGTTGGAGGTAGTTACTCAGATAAAAGTAATGTCATAATTACTTAAAGTAAAAGAAATGGGAGCTATGAAGGCAAGTCCTTCACGTGGGGTTATGTTTACAGCAAAGCTGACATCCAAAGTTGTTTATAGTCATACAACACTTAAGGATGGGAATAATGCCTTTTGCAGATTTATCACTATGAGAATATCACAGGGTGTACTCACACAGTCCAGATGGTACAGCCGGCTACTGTGACTGCATGTGCTGTGACTTTATGCAACTGGCAGTGCGGAGGTTTGTTGTCACCAGCATCACCACGCCACTGAGCAAGGTGTGGTGCTGACATTACAACGGCGATGACGTCACGAGGTGACCGGAAGTGTCGTCTCCATTATAACCTTATGGGATGGCCATCGTATATGTGGAGTGTTATGTGGCGCCTGACTGCACGTGAAATTATGATCATGAAGTTTGGCAATGGGGGCGATGTTTAATGTGATTTTTAGATAATAAAACGTGTCTGGACAAAATGTTAATCCTGTTTAATAGCAACTAGAAAGCTCCATGAAATTGAAATACTCGTGATGGACTCCCCTTGTTGAGCACTGAATCTGACCATCAGAGCGAAGGGCCAGGCTCTGTCTCACCTGGAAGCTCACCTGCCTGGTCTTTGAGCAGCACTTTTCAGGGAGCGAGCTGCCTCCCTGCAGAGACTGCTCATCGTTTATAACCCAGGATTGCCACTCTTCTCTGTAAACACAGGATACGACTTTCCTCATTAAAAGCCTAGAAAAAATGACAGGAGATATTCTTGGGAGAGTGGGCTATGCGATGAATTTTGAGATAATCCTGAAAAGTGAAATCCATTAACTAAAATATTCATAAATGGAACATTGTTAAAGTTAAAAGTTTTGTCCCACTCAGACACTGTTCAGGGAATGAAAAGACGAGCAGAGGCTGCTGAAAACAGTTTCAAATAGTATCTTGTAAAGTGCTGTATCCTGAGTATAAAGAACTTCACATGTTATGCAGGAGCCGAGGACCCTGTGACCACAGGGCCCAGCTCAGGGGTGGGGGCAGGGGGAGATGAAAAGGGGAGAGGGATTCTTTTGGGGTCACAGTGTCCTCTCCTCTGATCAAATCTATGCTTAGTCCCCTCCCCACCCTCCTATCTCTGAACTCCCAGTAACTGTTAATACAGACTCTGATAAAACAGGTCAGTTATGCTCTGCACATATGATTTCAATATTTGTCAGAGGTGGGCTTACAGAATGATTAATGGCTGTTTCTATTTTTGTCTCTTCTCCATATACAGGTGTGAGTCTGTCTGATGTAATTGGTGAGGGTTCCTGGGACATGCCTTAGGGTGGCTTCAGGAAAGTATTTGCACAAGAGACTTAGACACACATTTAAGCCCCACGCAGTAAGAATGAAGGGTCTCCAAGCCTGCCTGTGCTTTTTGTTGCTCCTACAAAAGGGGTAGTTCTTGGGAAAAACAGTCTTATTTTGGGACCATGTTACAGCAAACGTGAAATCAGTATATTACTTAACATGAAATTATCATTATAAAATCTTGTCCATCATGAATATTTTCATGTTTGATGTTATAGTGGATATTTTGACTTAAACTAATTATTTGTACTATCTACTTGAAAATCCATGAGATTACACATTCACTCTTATGCTCAGAAAGGTGGGACTTCTTAGGCCTGTTTGTAATGTGCCTCATGACCCAAGTGCACCCATCCCAGACTCACACCGTTCCTGTGTGCCAGTGAAGACACATGGAGGTGGCTCAGAAGGACCAGGGGAGCCTGACTCAGTCCCTCCCCACTTATAAGGACCAGGCTGCCCCTCATGCAAATTTCTCTGCAGGCTCCAGGGTAAAACCCTCCTTGGGCTGTGAGCTCACAGCTCTCTCCTCACACAGGTCTGAGTTTCTGGGGAAGGCAGAGCTGTGGTCTAGAAGAAGATGAGGCTGCTGGGTCTTCTCCTGTGCCTGGTGACAGCCCCCCAAGGTGAGGTCTCAGATATCAGACATGGTCTGTGGGATGGCTGTGTGTGCACGTAAGTGACACTGATTCTCCTTGTCCGCAGGTGTCCTGTCCCAGTTGCAGCTGCAGGAGTCGGGCCCAGGACTGGTGAAGCCCTCGCAGACTCTGTCCCTCACCTGCACTGTTTCGGGGGGTTCTGTCACCAGCAGTAACTATTGGCATTGGATCCGCCAGTGCCCTGAGAAAGGGTTGGAGTGGATGGGGTACTGGACAGGGAGCACAAGCTACAACCCAGCATTCCAGGGCCGAATCTCCATCACGGCTGACACATCAAAGAACCAGTTCTCCCTGCAGCTGAGCTCTGTGACCTCCGAGGACACGGCCGTGTATTACTGTGCGAGGGGCACAGTGAGGGGCAGTGTGAGTCCAGACACAAACCTCCCTGAGGGGACAGGGGGGCTGGGCTGAAGGGGGCGCTCTGGACACCAGTGGGTGCTCAGGACACACTGAGCACAGGGACCAGCCCCAGGAGCAGATAGGGACTGGGGTGGGGAAAGGACTTCCTTTGGAAACAGAGGTTTCCCGTAAATTTTCTCAGCTGCCCCCAGGGACAAGTTTGAACCACCTGTGTGACTCTAATTTCTCCTATTCTCAACAGCCACACACAAGGGGGGAAACACTATTTATAATAATACATCAACAGTGACTTGGTTTCTTTCCTTGACTGACTTCCTGTGTATCCTGTTTTTATTTCTCAACTGAGACCATCCTGAGGGCTCTCTTCTTCCCAGTGGTTAGGAAACATTTCCCACAGAGAGACCGCATCACAGTCCCACCCCATGTATGCGGAGCTCAGGCTCTCTGCTCCCCACATGCGCAGTGTGCCCACATGGCCCTTCCTTCTCACAGGCACACGTGGCCCCACGGGATTATGTTCATCCCCCAAGACCTCCACCCCCATGGTCTCCGTCCTCCCTACAGCATCACAACGTTAACCTCTCAGTCCTCATTTATTCAAGTGTATATTTCAAACCACCCCAACATTTCCTTCTGTCACCTACTGTCCTAATTCTCACTAAATCCTTCCTAGACTCTGAGCTCCATGGGGCTGGAGCTCTGCTCACACTCCCAGCTCCCCCACAATACCCGTCACAGAAGGGAGGTCCAGTAAATACGTGGGCATTCACATGCCCCCACGTCATCTCCTAATTCATCTAACATGTCTGTCCATTTGTGGACACCCCAGGGCAGGTTCCACTCACTGGGTGTGAAGGTGGCCCTGCTGAGCCCCGTGTCATGGAATCATATGATTCACGGTGACACAGGCACTATTGCAGGACAGGCCTGTGTCAGGTGGGGGCACAGTATCAAGTGATGGACCCTCTGTATGAGCAACGTGGTGGACACCTCATGGGTGGCTATGGTGACACAAAGGACAGGGAACTGGGTAGATCTGCTGGTCACTCCTCATTCTCAGTGTACAGCCCATATGTAGAATCAGAGATTGGTGAGCTAAAGTTATGGGTAAGACATGAAGTAGGAGTGAGAGAGGACCTTCAACTGGAAGATTGTTTAGGACATAAATATAAAAATACAGCAAAGGCATATGAGATAAGTGTACTTAAGAAACTGGATAAAAAATAAAGAATAACGATTACTCTCAGTATAGACGTTTAAAATAGTGTGTTCTGAGTTGTGTTGACGTTTACTCATTCTCTTTAAAAGTATCAGTTAGGCTATACCCTTAAAGAGCTAACCACCAAACAATTGCACTATCAAATCAAGCAGATATATCTCATTTTTGAGATTAGAAAGGGTGTAAGTGCTGCAAGGTGATTTCACCATGGTCTTCTTTTACTATTCTCTCTATAGCAAAACACTGACCTTAAATGTCAGCCTTTCATCCCAAAGTCTTTGATGGAAGGAAAGGAATTGTGATAATGTGCCTACATCATGTAG